GAAAATTACTTTTTTTTAGTTGAATATTATCAATATAAAGAAACAGCATATTGCTTGGAAGTAAATGTTTTTTAAATCGTTGGTGAAAGAAAATACATTTAGTTTTATCAATGTTGAGTAAAAGTTTGTTTGAATTAAACCAGTCAGATATTTTTGTTAGTTCAATGTTCATATCATAAAAAAGTTTATTGATATAATTATTAGATAGGAATACGTTTGTATCATCAGCAAACATTATAATTGTTAATTTTGAGACTTCGTGGTGATCATTAACATAAATTAGAAATATAAGATCCCTGTGGAACTCCACAGGTTATATTTAGATAATCTATCTTTAGATAATCTTGTGAAGAAGATCCGTCGACATGGACAAACTGTTTGCAATGTTTAAATAACTTTTTAGTAGTTTTAAAACATTACAGGTGATACCATAATGTTCAGGTTTTTAAACATTATTTTATGGTCAATTGTGCCAAAAGCCTTAGATAAATCTATAAAAACGCCTAAAGTAAAATCTGACTTTTCGAATGAACCAGTTATACTACGAGTAAGATGAATTATTGCATGTTCAGTAGAGTTATTTCTTTTAAAACCGTATTGATTTATGTAAAGTATATTATTAACAGCTAGATTAGATATTTGGTTGAACATAATTCTTTCTAAAATTTTAGAAAAAACAGAGAGGATAGATATTGGTCAATAATTACTGACATGTGATGGTCCATCTCCTTTAAATATAGGCGTTATTTTAGCTATTTTTAATTCATCGTGGAAAATTTCTTGATTTATAGAACATTTAAAAATTTTAAAATGAATATGTTTTATGGTATCGTATGAATCTATGACTATATTACAATTTATACAATCAGGACCAACTGCTTAATTAGTTTTAAGCATTTTTAAAGCACTTTTAAATTCTGAAGAAGATACTTCAAATTTATTTAAACTAGAGGTTAATGGAAACACGTAATCATTTATTGGATTAATCATATTTGGAATATTTTTAGCTAAATTTGGGTCAACAGACACGAAATATTTATTAAATTATCTTGTTTTTTGTTTGGATTCATATTAAAATACGCCATCACCTTTTATAGTGTTAGGCACAGAGCATAATTTTAATTTACTATTTCCAGTAGTTTGGCTTATAACTTGTCATGTGCGTTTTGAATTATGTTTATATTTTTCTAGTAAATTAAAGTAATATCTTTTTATAAAGTACTTGGTATAGTGATTTTATAATAGTGATAATAAAGTGACTTTAGTTTACTTTTATGGGTACTACCCCATGCAATATTAGCATATGATAGTGTATAAAAGAGTAATGCAACCCCATGCAATATTAATATGATAGTGTATAAAAGAGTAATATAGTTAAGTTAATGAATGTTTGTTTAAAATGCTTCTTGCTTTATATAAAACTTCAATGTTTTTTGCAATTTTGTTGCATAAATTTCAATATTATTTGTATTTATTAAAATAAGTTTTTCTTATTATATCTTTAGTTTTTATTTTATATATTTTTTATTTTCTTTTGTTACTTTTATATCTTGGATTTTTATAACTCTTTTTGAATATTTTATAATTTTAAATATCAATATTTTATTATAACAAGGGGCTCTATGATTGAGGAGATATTGCATCATCCATTTCTTCTTTGAGTCACCGTCTGTTTTTAAAATATTTTATTTACTGATATTTACCAAGTAAAACTCATATGTAATTTATTTAACAGCGAAATATAAAATAATAAAAAAAATATATATATAGTGATTTTCTATTATTTTAAAAATTGAAAACTACAGTTTTTGCTTTATTTTTGAGGATTTCCTAAAATCTTTATTGAACCATGGTGACTTTAAACTTTTATTGGTTATAATAAATTCACGTTTTGGAAAACTTACATCATATATTTCAAGTTTGAAAGAATGTATCGTATACTTCATTAGCTTCCAATGAATTTTTTATATGATTCCAATTTATTAAAGATAATTGATCCTTAAACGATGCTAGATTTGCATCGGTGAAAAATCGTTTGATAATAACTTTTTATGTTGTTGTATTAATTTGTTATCAATATAAATAGAGAGAAAAATAGGGAAGTGGTCGAAAACGTCATTTTTTATTATACCTTTTTTAAGAGTTTTATTAAAGATATCGGCTGTTATAATGTTGTCAATTAAGGTAGCCGAAGTTGAGGTTACTCTAGTAGGTTTGGTAATTAGTGTAATCGCTCCATGTTTGAATAAGTTATCGTAAAACTTTTTAATATTACTATTAACGTGATATTCAAAACAATTTATACTTACGTCACCAATTAGATAATTTAGTTTCTTAGAATGAAGTAGGGGAGGAATAATGATCCATCTCCTCAGGAATGCACTGCGATTACCAATGATGCTTTGGAGAGCCCGAGATCTGCTCTAACGCCACTCGATAGGGGGGTGTCTTTGCAATAGATCTCACCGCCTGCACTCTACGTCATGCAAGTCAATATTGCTATATAATAAAACTACTCTACAAAAGCCAAAAATCTCAATCCTTATTCCAGTTTTTAATACAGCTCCAACATTTTGAGAGATCTCGTGAGGGTGGGGAAGAATGCGCGTGGTATGAACATAAACAAATATATAAATACATATAAATATCATGTATTCTTACACTAGAAGAGAAAAAAGTGTACACATGCACGTATGCGCACGTATTCTTACACTAGAAGAGACAAAAGTGTACACATGCACGTATGCGCACGTATTCTTACACTAGAAGAGACAAAAGTGTACACATGCACGTATGCGCACGTATTCTTACACTAGAAGAGACAAAAGTGTACACATGCACGTATGCGCACGTATTCTTACACTAGAAGAGACAAAAGTGTACACATGCACGTATGCGCACGTATTAAAATAAGCAATCTTAATGTATAGAAATAACACTAAGCAAATAGAAAATAGTAATTAATAATTAAGATAACTTACTGTTTCTTTTATGGCTGTAATATGTCTTTAGATATAATAAGTAAATTTCACTCATAAACGTTGAAACTAAATTAAAATGGTTTTTGGTTAGTTCGAAAGTAGTTAGTAGAAAATATGGTAGAAAATGTTGGAACTCCAACGGAGAAATAGAAATCTTGATAAGTAGAGACAGTAGCTATCACACAAAAAGACTCACAGTAATTAAAAAAAATGATTAGCCAGAGATAAAAAATATAAAAACATTAAATCAGTAGGCAGCGAGTAGGGAGAAAATAAACAGATGAAAATAAACAAATATTTGATTAACTGATTTTAGAGACTGTTGATGTCTACACGTGTGATGATGTAGTGCATTAGTATGTTCTGTTTGGTCGTTTAGAATGATTTCATTATGCTTTCGTTCACTTTCATATCAGATGATTAGAAAGCTAAACACACTCACTTCTTGGGGTAATGAGCTAGCATATCAAAGCCAGACGTAAGACTTACAGAATGGATTTCAATTGATCAAATATCTACAGAATGGATTTCAATTGATCAAATCCACAAATTAGCCACTGTAGGCCTCAAGCCATCGCTCTTAGCCTAAAGAGCTATGACTCCGTACGGTGTGGAGTGATGTGCTATGAAGTGAGATTTTAGATCCGAGAATATAGTCAGCGAACGCTAATCCGACATGCATTGTGGAGCTTGCAAATAAGCGTGTGCGTGAGTGTCAACGCAGTCAGAAACTTAATTGTTTGGGCTACTCGCACTTCTGACCCCCTAATTAATACAATTTTATTATAAAAGTTAAAAGTTTGATAGCAAGTTATAGTGGTAATGTTGAAATTATTCAATTGTGGAACCAGATGAAACTAATTAAATAAATTATATTTAAATGTTGACAAAGTTGTTATAAATCTAGAATTAGATAAATATGTAGACAAATAAAGTTCTACACTGAGTATTATGTATAACTTTATAATCGTTTGTCTACAACGTAAATTTATTAAACATATATTATAATATTTAATAAAACATTTAAAAAAATCAGTGACTCGACTATAAATAAATTATATTTAAATGTTGACAAAGTTGTTATAAATCTAGAATTAGATAAATATGTAGACAAATAAAGTTCTACACTGAGTATTATGTATAACTTTATAATCGTTTGTCTACAACGTAAATTTATTAAACATATATTATAATATTTAATAAAACATTTAAAAAAAATCAGTGACTCGACTCCAAACAAGCCTGGAAACAAGAATACCCCCAAAAATTACCCTAAATGTGAAGGAAATTTAAATAAAAAACATTTATTTTTGCTATTTCATTAATTTAATTTCATATAGAAGTTTTAATTTTCATTAATAATCTGAGTTCGAAAGGTATGACTCCATAAAGTTTCGTCTTCATTAAAAAGAGGGGGTTGTAACTTTACAGGTCATAACTTTCAACATTTTTTTGGTAATTTTGTTTCCAGGCTCCAACCACAGCAATTATATCTTTATAATATTCCCATTTGACTCAGGAATGAACGTAATTAAGTAAAGAGTTAGTACAATGTCTTAATGTGTCATATCTTAAACTTTCAAAATATCTACCGGGGCGCTTCTGCAATTGTACTCCCCCCTCCCCTATCGCTTAGAAATATAATTTTCTATTACAATCATTTAAAGATTAATATTTCCACATGAATACATCAATTATATTTTTTAGCAACCTATTTCAATGGAATGTTTTCACTGTGCAACGTAAAAGAATTGTTAGGAAGATTACCATCCAAAGTTAAAAAAAATTAAAAATTAAATTAAAAAGCCATATTTTATATCACTTTTTTTTGTCCAAACAATTTTAAGCAAAATAATGACGGAAAAATGGCTGGAAAATAAGTAAAAAAAAACTTTTAAAGCCATAATCATCTTTTAATAAGCCAAACTTTGATTTGATTTGCACTTAAAACACTTATTATTGATTTTTATCGTTATTTATTTCAATATTTATCAAAATAAGTTAAAATGAAATAAATTATATATTTATTGTATATATTATTAAAATATTTAATATATTAAAATTTATTTGCACAGTATATAAATAATTAAACAACAAACCGAAAATAAACTAATTTTATATACAGGATGAACCACTTATAGTACATTACGCTATGGATTTTGCTGCAATATAGTTGGTGCCGAGCCTCCGTAAGCGCCCAAAGATGATTGGACAAACTGATGGGGAGTCCATTGCATGCTTTCATGAAGTTGTTCAATGCTTTTATCTTCATCCACGCTCATTAACTCTTGATAACCGAGCGTGTAAATTTCCAATGCTTTAGCGTAAAAAAGCATTTCACTTAACATAAAATCGCCGAATACTTGTTTTAAATCGCGTATTTTTTTCCGTTCAAAGTCGTCCATCTGTTCTTCTAATATTTGTGCAGAGCGATGGGCTTCTTCGGAAGCTTTTTTAAATTTGGTTTCCGCTTTGGCAAGTTGGAAATGTTCTACAGATCTTTGTTTTACGCGTTCATACGACTTGTGTTCTATTAATTCTTTAGAGTGAGCTAAGGAATGTTTTTTTACATCTACTTTTGCCTGCTTGCATCGTGTGTCATACACGGCAAAAGTTTGAAAAACTTTTTTTTCAAGTCGAGTAACGAGAGCGTTACGCTGATCCTGCACAGACGCAAAACACTCAGCTAACGCTCCTAGTCCTTGTTTTATACTCGAAGTTTCGCTGTCAGCATAAAGACGTATAGATTTTGCCATATTATCACCAGCATCTCTCAGTTTGGCCGATCGCACTGTGTATAAATTTATATCATGCACTAACTGAGGAAAGTGGTTCTCAATTTTTTCAATATTTTCTGTTACAACTTTAGTCTGCTGCTCGCCAGAACGAATAGATGTTTTAAGATCACCTAGAATAAAAAATAGATGTTTTAAGATCACCTAGAATAAAAAAGATTTAATTAAATAATTAGTGTTTAATAAACAAGTAAAATTACTTTTCAAAAACTAACCAGCGGTAGAAGTCATTTTAAGACGTTAAACTAAGCAGCGGCAATAGCCATATCAGAGCATTACGAATATAAAGTTTGCACATGAAAGTTTCTTTGAATTGCTCAGAGAACTCTCTTTTCATTTATAAATTATGAATTTGATTAATGATTGCCGAAATTTAATAAGAATTTCTGAATAGACGATCAATTTTTAATAGAATTTTCATTTACAATCCAGATTAAAAAAAGCTAAATATAACTGCCTAAAAATACATTACTTTTTATGGCGTCGAACATGGAATAATTATCCGTGTTTATATATTAATCGTGGTGGTTGCATACTCGTTAGTTTAATGTGAATTGTTCAAAATTTTGATCACGGGAAAAAAAATTAAAATAATATATTGGACAAAATATTTGCAACCAACATCGAACAATGCTAAAAAGTGTTCCTAATTTTACATGTCGTAAAAACGAAACGAACTATACTACCACAGCAAACAGTTCAGGAGTCTGGAATCATAGCATGCCATGACATGAGCAATCAGCTGACAGGTGACAACACACAGGCAGAATTTCGTTGACAAGTGCAATTTTGCAGGGGACAAAACAAGTGCAACTTTTTTGGTTTGTTTCATTTTCTCAAGTCTGGTCCGTGTCAACGTCACGGAAGTTTTTTAATAACTAAAGGAAGTATTCAGAAGTTTCCAGAAGCATGCAGAAGCTTCCAGAAGTTTCCAGAAGACATCCAGATGTATCCAGAAACATTTTGAAGCTTCAAGAAGCATCGAAAAGAAGCATCTAGATTCTTACAAAACAGGTTTAAACAGGTTCATTTTACTATATGAGACATGTAAAACGACATGTAATTCAGTCAGTATATGGAAGTCAATCAGTCAGTATTATCAAGACAGTTTATCGAAGTGAGTTTTATCAAAGTGTTTTATTGAAGAAGATCAATACAAGAAGTGAAATACAACAAGTGTTTCATTACATCAATAGTGTTCCACAGAGCATTATTGTATCATCACAAGGTTAATGTAACACGGTAAGCCTTGAGAAGCGTGATTTTTTATTTGTATTATTTTTATGACTTCAAGTGCAAAAATGGCTCTCGACAGTCTTGGATTGGAACTAAGAAAGAAAATTATTGGCGATTACGTAAGTGGAATGTCACAAAAAAGTATTTGTGATATATATCGCGTAAAAAAATGGACTGTATCAAGACTATGTTCCGAATATCGTTCTACAGGGAAGTTGGCAGCAGATAACAAAGGTGGAAGACGGCGTTCCACCACTTCTAGAGAGGATTCTATGATCGTCAGATCCGTCAAGAATGATCCCTGGATATCATCAGTCAAGATACAAAAGCAATTAGAGCTGCCTGTATTGGACCAAACAATCAGACGACGTGCTGTTGAAGCCGGATTGTTTTCTCGATGCCCAGCTAAGAAACCGCTGATTTCACTAAAAAACCAGAAGAAAAGACTCCTGTTTGCTACATCTCATATTGACTGGAATGCGCAGAAATGGCGAAATGTCCTGCTCAGTGATGAATCGAAGTTCAACATCATTAGAAGCGATAGCATTTGCCGTGTACGTCGACCGGCCGGAAAACGCCTCGATTTACGTTACTGCCATGAGACCATGAAACATGGTAGAGGCAATGTAATGGTCTGGAGGCATTTTTCTGCTAACGGTCTAGGTCCAATACATCGAATCGATGGAATAATGGACCGTTTCATGTATAAAAATATTTTGAAAGATGTTATGTTACCTCATGCTGAATGGAATATGCCAATAAAATGGGTTCAGCAAGACAACGACCCGAAACACATTGCAAAAGTAGTCAAGAAGTGGTTTCAAGACAACCACCTATCGGTGATGGATTGGACGCTTCAATCTCCGGATTTTAACCCTATCGAGAACCTGTGGGAGATTGTCAACCGCAGAATTAATCGTGAAGGTGTTCGTAATAAGGATCAACTGTTTGAACAAATCCAAAAGGCCTGGACAGCGATTCTACAAAGTTTCATTGATCACCTGATCAAATCTATGCCTCAAAGATGCAAGGCTGTAATCGACAATAAAGGATTCTCCACAAAATAATAATAACGAAATACAGCTTGTTCAACATTTTGTGGAGTTGCACTTGTTTTGTCCAGAAGGAAATCAACTTTTTTTAATACTTTTGATTAATTTATTAATTTTTGTGTACAAATAATAAACTTTGTGATGAATAAAACTTGAAGAACGTTGTCTTTAAACAGTTACATAGTTATTGAAAAAATGCAGCACTTTTATATAAAGAAACTAAATTATCATTATTTGGTTGCACTTGTTTTGTCCGATACTGTATTTGTTCCAAGAAAATTGTAAACTTACAAGGGTATACAATAGTATTTACTTAAATCATAAATTACATATACTATAGAAAGTATAAATAGAGTTTAATAAAAAATTAAAATATTTTACTTATTTTTAATTACTTTAATTAGGAATTAGTTATTTAATTTTTATTTGAAATTGCGATGACACTATTTTCAAATGTTCATAACTTTTATTGATTTTATTTTATATGATTTAATATATGTTTATGATATTATGTTTAAGAGTTTTCAATTTTGTCATTTGTTTATGACATTATGTTTAAAAGCTTTTAATTTTGTTATTTTTTCATGATATTATGTTTAAAAGCTTTTAATTTTGTTATTTGTTTATGATATGTTTAAAAGCTTTTAATTTTGTTATTTGTTTATGATATTATGTTTAAAAGTTTTTAATTTTGTTATTTGTTTAGCATTTATTTTACTCTACTTTCAAAACACTTTAAGTCTAATTTAATTCATTTTTCAATCTGTATTGTGTTTTCTTATTTTTAAAATATTTATTTATTAAATATATTATTTTGTTATTTTAAAATACAAAATAAAATTAGAAAAAAATAAAAACTAGAAGACACTGTTCACATCTAAATCTTATTGTTCTTTTAACATGACTTAACTGGATATATTTTATTTATAAAGTTAGCAAATTTTGAAATTATATTTTTAATGCTTATGCACTTTGAAAGAAACTACTTTTAATGAAATTTAAAGCAAGAAGCATGCAAGCAATTGAGTTTTTGGTGATATATTCTCTGTATAGTACTGCCTGTTCACGAAGTGAAAAATAGTAAAAGGAAATGGGAATACTAGCTGTTAAATCGTCCGTTGAAATTAGTAGCTTCGCAAAAAGATGGATTATTGATAGTTGTCCTATTTAAGAACAGCTAAAGTGCATGGAGGGGCAGCTAGGATGCATTTGATGCATTCAAAAGTATCCCAAAACACAAATTTAAAAAAAATTACTAAATAAGTAAAGTTTTGAGAATGATTTAAAATTAATTGAAATTATTAAAGCAGTTTTGAAGATTAAAAATCTACAATTTTTTAAGCATGAATTAATACATTTCAAAACTTCACGATGGCTAGATTTGTTTTTATAAAAATCTTTGTGAATTCATTCAGAACAGAAATAGGAATTTTAACCAAACCCGTTTGTGAAAATGCCACAAAACAATTTTTTTATTGTACTTTAATTTAATATTGTATTTATGTATCTGATTATCTTATTTTTCTAAATAAGTCTTTTTAAATTTTGAATATTATTAATAGCTTTAATTCTGGTATTTTCAGGGCTTTTTTTACCTAGCAACTAAATTAAAACAAGTTGTAGGTATATTCAGTCACAGATCCAGGATTTTGTGGTGATTGCTAACTTCCAGACATTGAGAAAACTCCAAATAGTAGTATGTTTATACTTATGTCAAATAATAAGGCTGTGCAAATAATTGCAACGATTGAAGGCAGGTAACAAAAAAGCTCTTTGACTTTATAACACCCCCCTCCTTAACCCAAACATGAGGGGCAAAAAATTGCAACGATTGGAGGCAAAAAATTGCAACAACTTGATAAAAAAATTTTGTACATTTATCAATTATATTTATATTCATCGATAAATTTTAAGTTTTATAGTATTATCTCTCAGCGTTCAAAAATTATGACCATATAAAATTTGTAACCCAATCATATTGAGGGGGTTTAAACTTAACATGGTCATAATTTTTGAGTGCTTAGAGATAATACTATAAATCTTGAAGTTTATCAATGAATATAAATCTAATTGAGAAAAGTACTAAATTTTTTTTATCAAATTGTTACCATTCATGTTTGTTTTATGAAGTCAAAGGGCTTTTTCGTTCCCTGCCTCCAATCGTTGCAATTTTTTGCACAGCCTCATTATTTGACATAAGTATAAACATACTACTGTTTGGAGTTTGCTCCATGTCTGGAAGTTAGCTATTTCAATCACCAAAAAATCCTAGATCTGCCACTGGGTATATTGGAATAACTTTATCTGAACCAAGACAAGATTTTCTTTCAGGTTTTTTAATGCTTTTTACATTTTAAATTTGTTTCAATACTGAAGATTTTACCTTTATTTTTATTTTACTATTATTTTTTATTTTTATACCAAAAAAAAAATGTATTTTTAATTTTAAAATCATTTAATAAATTTAATTTAATAAAAAAAAAAACAATTTTATTTTTTAAGCAAATGATATAATTTTTTTTTATGTGGAAAGGGAGGAGAAGAAGTTTTTTTATCTGTCTTTAACTACACTAAAGTTTTAAAATCCTCAAACAAATTCACTGAATTGAATTAGTTTTGTGTTAACTAGTTTTTAGAAAACAAAGAGCTTATTTAATTTTAAAAAAATAATTATAAGTGGCCTTATTTTTAAGCCTTGCTAATTCATAGAGCATAGTTATTCTTTTGGTTTTTAAAAATTTAACTCTTTTATGAATCAACGCAAAATATGCTAAATTTTTTCACTCTGTTTTTTAAGTTTGTCTCTGAGAATGAACTTTTTTTTT